GATCTATTTGCCTCAGCCTCCCAAAGTGATGGGATTACAGGCATGAGCCACCATGCCCAGGGAGAACCATTTTTAACACAGAAGAAATAACAGCAAGATATCTGCTGATGGGATGCTCTAGCAGAGAGGAGGACCCGATGATACAGGCAGGGACCCTGCTGGAGTGATGTTCTCAAGCAGGCACAAGGGGCCATGATCTCTGCACAAGTAGAGGGGTGGCCTTAACCAGCAGGGACACTTCACCCACAGAGACAGGAGAAAGCAGAGCAGTGAGTGCAGATGCTGGCAGACAGGTGAGTGTGGCTCTGGGAGCCTCAGGACGCTCTAACTGCTTATATTTTCTCAAAGATGATCCGCTGAAAGGAAGGATGGGAGGGACTAGGGGGGTGTGGGTAGAAGAGCAAGTGGGGGCCGGGTGCAATTGCTCATGCCCATAATCCCAGCACTTTGGGAAGCTGAGGAGAGCAGATCACTCGAGGTCGGGAGTTTAAGACCAGCTCTGGCAACATAGTGAGAGACCATCTCCTACACACACACACACACACACACACACACACACACACACACGAAGAGCAAGTGTGAAAGAGTCATCTAGACAGCAGAGAGGCGACAACCTCAGAACCTGTGCTGTGCCTGCTGGACTGCACTAAGGACCCACCTGAAGTTCAGTGTTCACGGTCTTGGACTGAAAGTGAGAACAGTCAGGGCAGTGGTTTTGCTCAGCCCTAGTCAGCCGCACGTGCAGGTATGGGGTAGGTCAGGCATTGGATTTAACCAGCGTTGGGGTTTTGCCAAGCAAGTGTGAAGAAGCAAAATGAGTTAAGGGAATTGGGGTCTGCAAGGTAGTGGCAGGATTATCCTGACTTCTACAGGGGCAGCTGCCGTCTGAGCTAGCCCAGCCCTGCTCAGTCCCCTCTATGCTGGTGCCTGAAACCCGCCATCCATTCCCCGCTGTGGGTTATGTGTGGCTCTTCTTTCTGCCCCAATCTCAAAATGAGCTTCTGCGAGGGGGCCACAGGTGGTCACCACCAAATGAACTTCCCAGATACCATTACTCTGGCCTGGAGAGCACCTCAGACCTCACACACTCAAAACCACAGCCTCCATCTCCCTTCCCAAGCCACTGCATGAGCTCATCATTCCCACTCTCCCCACCTCTAATCAGACACAAGGGCCTGTCCATTCTGCTTCCTAAATCTCTCCCACCTCCATCCCCTCTCCCATCTCCCACCAGCAACACCCTCCCAGCAGGGTCACCAAATCACACAACTCCACTCCCTCTGTGCACCACACACAGCAGCCCCAATCCAGTCCCCTGTGTCTTGTGCTGGGTGCTGCCACAGCCTCCTGGCTGGTCTCTTTCCCATGTATTGACCCAGCCAACCCTACTTTACACTCCTCAGAGTGCATTTCCAGCACTCAAAACTGCTCCAACATCCCCTCTTCAAAACCCTTCAGTGGTTTTCAAGTGCCGTTGGGGAAAAGGCCAGCCCCTCAGCCCACATTCCAGGCTAGCTGTGGCCTTAGCCTGCCTTCCTGTCTGGCCCCCCATGCCCTCTCCCCTTGCTGTGCCTCTTACTACTTTCTCTGGACCTCCCCTCTCCGCCACCAACAGCACAGGTCTGAGCAGCAGGCTCCTCCACCCCCAACCCTGAGGTTGCAAGCTCCCTGAAGATCTCTGTCTGCTTCTTCATTCTCCAACATCTGGTCTGATGTAGGGGTTCAGTAAGATTTGCTGACCTGGTGCACAGATTAAGCTTTTGGAGGTAGAGAAGGGGGAGGAATAGAATTGAAATACAGGGACCCCTGAGCCAAGTGACCTAACTTAGCGCCACGTACTACAGAACAAGAAAATAACGGGTGCCTCCCAATATCATGCACGGAGAAGGGCTTGACATCATCTATGGGATATTCTTGCCCCAAAATGTTTAACTTGAATCTAATCATGAGCAAACAAGAAGACGAATCCAGAATGTGAAACATACCACAAGCCTTCGAAATTAACAATGTCATTTAAAAATTTTCAAAAAAGCCAGAGATTCATCCAGATTGAAACACTAAATGCAATGTAAGTTCCATGATCAAATTTTTTTAAAAAAAACAACAGTTATAAAGGGCATTACTGAGACAACTAGAGATGTAAATATGGACTACATGCTAGGTTAAACTGGATGATAACTAAACTTCTTGGGTATGACAACAATATAGTCTTTTTGTAGAAAAATGTCCCTGTCTCAGGAAATTCATGCTGAAATATTTAAAAGTGAAGTGTTAATAATGTTGGCAACTTACTTTCAAAAGGTTGAGAGAAAGAGAGAGAAACAAGTGGGGCAAAACGTTAACAGTTGGCAAATCTAGGTCTCCGGGTGAAGGGTATGTTGGTGGTAGTCACCATATTATCAGCTTTGACAAGATAAAAAGTAAGGTGGGAGAAGAAAGGGAGTGGAGGGAGACATTCCAAAGAGGGGAGCTCAGGGGCTGGGATTTGGGGGCAGGAGTCAGAGGAGAAGACATTCCTTCCCTGGGGCAGCCCACAAACCTGGGCAAGCAGGGCTGTGGGCTGGCCCTGGGCTGGATGCTTGAGTCACCACAGGCCAGGCAGGCACAGTGCTGAAGTGATTTACCACCTAAAAAAGGGGCCAGACCCTAAGGAAGCAGACTCACCTGTGGGCAAACCGGCTTAGAGGGACAAGGAAAACAAGCCTGCCCCAGGGAGACCAGGGCAGGAACATGGGCCCCTATCCCTACACTGAGCTGTGGCAAGGAGCCAGGTCTGGCCCCAAGCCCACCTAACCCCCAAACACCACTCGATGGGCGACAGCCTAAGTGTATCCTCCTTTTCGGAGAACCAGTCTAAATATGGAGCCTCAGACATAAGATGCCACTCAAAACAGATTTTCCTGGAAAAGACCATCTGGCAAAGGAGGTCTAGAGCATCGTCTGTCGCGAGAGGCAGTGTTGATCTCCTGCAAGCCAAAGTCCAGAATAGGAATGCCTGATCCCACCTCCCTAGGAAACTCCAGCTTAGTGCTTGTTTTTCCCAAGGTCATCCCCTTGCCCAGATGGAGAGGCACTCTATCCCACCTCCCACCTCTTTCCTAAGTTGTACCTCCAAGACAGAAGAGGATGAGGATGGGGACACAGGTCTGAGTATCAGACAGTTCTGGCCAAGTGCAAATCCTCACTCTGCCATTTACTAACCAGGGGACTTTAAACAAACAACTCCATCACAAAATGGGAATAATGGTAGTGTCTCCCTCTAAAGACAGTTATGCTATGAGGGTACTTGGAGAATATGCTCCATATATGGAAGCTGGGTGAGGTAATGCCCCAAGCCACTCTCTCTCAGTCCTGTCTAGAGCAGGAAGTCATTGTTTTCAGCTACTTTTACTCCCTCCCTTCAGGGAAGACCCTGGGAGACATTACTGGTCAGGTCTGCTTGTGGAGCATGCACCCCATAGTTGTCAGGTCAGGACAAGCTGCAGGAGGGAGACCTCTCAGGGGATCCCTGGGCTGCAGGGTGCAATTCACCCAAGCATTGAGACTTCAATCTTGCAAGAGGCACCAGTGAGGGAGGCCCTCTGAAGACAAGAGGACAACATAGTCATTCTCCTTCAGCTGGGCCACACCCACCTACTCACCCCATTGGATGGGAATCTTCTGGGGGCTCTGGCCAAATCCTAGGGATGGCTATGTTTCCACCAGGACCAAACTTTGCAGTAGCCCCACTCAAAAGCCACTGCCTCCCACCATATATTGGGGAAAGGGGCTTCTGGGAGAACAGCAGGCACATTTTACTCATTCAGAGATCCCAGGTCACAGAACTTGGAGCTTCCCTGGGAGGCAGGTTCCTAACCTCCTGGGGAGAGGGTGGAAGAATGACAGAATAACTGCATCTGCCCAGGGCCTTGGGTTGGGTTTGGAGGCAGTCCCAGCCCAGTGCCCACCACCACCCCCATTAAGCAGCCCTTGTCTGTGGGATCTAGAAAAAGGAACTGGGGAACCGAGGAAAGTCCAAACCCAGGCCACTCACCTGCCCTGGCCATACCCTGAGCCCTCTCCCCGCCCCCATCAAGCTCAGCCTGGCTTATCCCCAGGCTGCCAGGAGTCTAAGGCCCTCTTCGATTGTGACTGCTGCTTCCGCTCTGGGTTCTCTTTTTGAGCCCCCCCAAGATGGCCCCAAGACAAAGGGGTGGGCTTGAGACAGTGGCCCCCTGGGCCTATGCAAAAACAATGCCCCCAGTGATCATTCCAAGGAGCCCCTGGATCCTCTAGGAATAGCAGAAGTCTGAATACCTCCTCTGAAGAGGGGGCCTGCTGGGCAGGGTGGTCCCCAATCTGGACTCCTTCTCCACCCAGCCCCAGCAGCCCGCTCCTGGGACCCCTCCCTCCCGCTGCTGCCTCGGCCATTATGTGCCTCCTCGGCCTTGCCTGCCACGCCCCCGTGCGAGCCCCCGCTCTAGCGGCGGAGCCGGGAAGGCCTGGCAGCCAAGCCAGGCTGTCAAAGTTGGAAAACTGGAAACAGAAATAAATCCTCAAAGCTGCAGCTTCGTGAAGGTGGCTGCCGGCAGGCCCTGGCACCCAACACTCCGATCTCCGGCCACCAGGCTGCCACTAGCACCCCCACACACACGCGTACCCCCAGATTATACAAAAGCCGGGAGGGGGGAGCGGGCGGCGGAGCCGGGAGACAATCGGGTCGGCAGCCCCCACCCTCCTCCTTCAGGCTGGGCTCGGGCTCTCCCGCGGCGCCCCCTCTTCCCGACCCAGACCCGGCCAGCCCGGGCTTCCTCGCTCGGCCCCATCTCCATGACAACCGTATCCTTCGGATGCTCCAGACGCCGCGGAATTGATCTGGAATTGTAGCTTTGTTAGCGGACCCGGGCGGGCACAGAGGGCAAGGGCGGCGCCCCCCACTCCGCACGCGGCCCCCTCCCCGGCCGCTCCCGCCCCTGCCTGGCCGCCAGCGGGGCGGGGCGGGTCCCGGAGCCCCGCGGCCCCACTCACCAATGCTGGTCCCCGCCGCGGGTCCGGCCTCTCACGGCGGGGCCATCGGAGGCCGCCGGGCTGCCCGTCCCGCCCCGCCGCCCCGCCGCCGCCGGTCGGAGCTGCCCGCGCCCGCCCGCGTCCCTTCAGGTGCCGGAGCCGCGGTGTGGAGAGACTGAGCGAGGGGGACGGACGGCAGGAGGGAGGGAGCGAAGCCGGGAGCAGGAGCAGGAGGAGAAGGAGGAGGAGGAGGGAGGAGCGGGAAGGGCGGGGAAGGGCGGAGGCACTGCGGGCGCTCGACAAGCGGGAGCGGAGCGGGGAAGGGAGCGCGGCCCCTAGCCCAGCCCGCCAGCCGCGCACAGCTCGCCCCGGGACCAAGAGCCTGCCGGGGAGAGCGCGGCCCATCCTATCCCGCCCCGCCCCGCGCGGACCCTTTAAGAAAGTGGGGGAGGGGAGCGCCCGAGATCCCGCCCCTTCCTAGCCCCGCCGGGCCCCCGGCTGTCCTCGAATCCCTGGCCAGATGCAACCATCTCCACCCCCCAGGCAGGACCCTGCGGCCCAGAACCTGATCCTTCGGGACCCGCCAGGCCCTCGAGGTGAAGGAGGGGGCGGGTCCTTGCCCTCCTCCCAAGGTCTGTTCAGGGAATGACCCCTGCCCCAACAGTCCCCCGACACACGGCCAGTCCCCTGGAGACCCCGCCAAGGGAGGAGCAGGGAGTGCAGGGGGCCGAGGTGAAGGATCTCAGAGAGGAAGACTGAACCCCTGAGACTCTAGAGACCGAAGGGACGGAGACCTGGGCCTGGGGTGAGAAGGGGCACTCAGGACAGAGTGGGAGGGGAGGAGGCAGGAGAGAGGAGAGACAAAAGAGACCCTGAGGGAGGCAGAGGTGAGAGGTGAGTCCAACCAAGAATGCACATCCCAGTGCCAGGTCAAAGGAAAGTCACCCTAGGCAGATATAAGGAGACAGAGGGAGAGACAGACGGGGCCCCGGGTGGAGAAAACCATCTCCCAAGGCAGCTGTCCCACGGTGGCTCCCCCAGGTCAAGTCAGGGCCCTGATGCCTGCCCCTCACCCCAGGACCCTACCTGAAGAAGACGGTTTACCAACTGTACCTGGGCTGGACATTAAGAACTTCCTGGCTGTGAAGCACCTGCAGAGTAAGAGTCCACATCTCTGAGTGGCAATAAAGGGGCCCCACCCAAGGGATTTAAGGAGAGGGTGGGGAGCAGGCCCAGTGCCTGGGTGAAGACAAGTCAGGATAGAGACAAGCCCTGCCACAGGAGGCCACTTTCTACCCCTCTCCCTGACTCCAGCCCCTGGGGACAGTCACCACACCCAGCTGCTTCCACTTTCAGACCTCTGCAGACCATCCACACTCTGCCCAGTGAGGCCTTGATCCGGCTGCGCTCAGTGACCTCCTCCTGGACCCTCAGATTCCTCCTTAAATGCCTCTTCCTCCATGAAGGCTTCTCTGACCTTCTTTCCACCCATGAACACACAGACATGGACGCTTCTTAGGGAACAGGAAAAGGATCTCCTGACCTCTTAGGGTGGCAGCAATTGGAAGCGTGGGGTCTGAGCTCTGCTTAGTCTCCCTCTCTTCAAGCTGGGTAACAGCTGGAGCTGGGACCTCATCAACCATGGTGACATCCCTAACCATGAATCTACCAAGAGCTCTTCAATTGTCATATTTAACTCTCAAAACAATCCTACAACCCATTTTACAGATGAGAAAGCTGAGGCTCTGAGAGCGTAAGTCACTTGCTCATGGTCCCAGGAGACCTAAACCTGTGGGCATAGCTGGCCAATTAAGAGGGCACTCAGACCGCACCCTTCACTGCCCATCAAACCCAAGGACATTCCCACAGAGCCTAGAAACAAGGGAGCCACTCTCTCTGCAGGTGCCCGGGATCTTAAAGGGCACAGAAGGAGCTTAGCTTCCCTGCTGTCCTGCACTCTACCGCCCTGCCCTCTGCTACCTGAAGTCAGAGAAGGGTGGAAACTAGCACGGGCTGTGGAGAAAAGTGCACGTGGCAGGGCTTAGATTCTATACTCCCCCCCTTGGCACCCACGGCCTCAAGTCACAGCTGGACCACCTTTCTGGGCTCCTACTTCCTCATCTGCCCAATGAGGATGGTAGCAGGCCCCCCTCTTGTGGGGCTAGCATGGGGACCAAAAGAGCTGATGTGCTCAAGACCCGGCACACAGATGCCCTCAAGAGCCCATGGCTATTCCAACTGTAATGATGACTTATTCATGGAATGCATTATTTAATCGCTGTCCACCAGATGGATTCTGAGCCCCTTGAAGGGTTCACAGTATATCCTCAGCACCTAACACTCAGTATGGCTTAATAAGTTACATGGAAGGAAATAATAGGGAAAGGGGAAAGGCAGACACAGCTGTCTCTCCAGCTAACCTGCTCCCAGCTGGCACACAGAACCTAGTCTCTGCCCCCAGATCTGCCCCCTATCCTTTGTAGCTCCAAGAGCCTGTGGCGGGGGAAGAAGATCCGGGTTCTAGTCCAGTCCTCTCCACTTTCTAGCTGTGTGGCTATGGGCGGCTATACCCTTTCCTGAACCTTCCTTTCCCCTCCGTCAAGTGGAACTAGATCCCAGGGGTTCAGAGGGCTGTCTGGAGGCCACAGGTGGGCTCTGTGTGAGTGCTCTGGGTGCCACGGACACTGGAGAGGGGAGTATTGTTACTGTTCCTCGTGGCTACCTTCACCTCTTCAAAGACGCAGGGTCGGCCGGGCGCGGTGGCTCACGCCTGTAATCCTAGCACTTTAAAAGGCCAAGGTGAGTGGATCACGAGGTCAGGAGAAGAAGACCACCCTGGCCAATATGGTGAAGCTCCGTCTCTACTAAAAATACAAAAATTATCTGGGCATGATGGCACGCACCTGTAGTCCCAGCTACTCGGGAGGCTGAGGCAGGAGAATTGCTTGAACCGGGAGGTGGAGGTTGCAGTGAGATGAGATTGCCTCACTGCACTTCAGCCTGGTGACAGAGCGAGACTCCTTCTCAAAAAAAAAAAAAAAAGTTTCGTCTGGGCGAGGTGGCTCACGCCTGTAATCCCAGCACTTTGGGAGGCCAAAGCAGGCTGGGTCACTTGAGGTCAAGAGTTTGAGACCAGCCTGGCCAATATAGTGAAACCCCATCTCTACTAAAAATACAAAAATTAGCCAGGCATGGTAATGCATTCCTGTAATCTCAGATGCTGGGGAGGCTGAGGGAAGAGAATCTCTTGAACCTGGGAGGTGGAGGTTGCAGCGAGCCAAGATTGTGCCACTACATTCCAGCCTAGGTGACAGAGCAAGACAGAGAGAGAGAGAGAGAGAAAGGAAGGAAGGAAAATAAAAGAAGGAAGGGAGGGAGGGAGGGAAGGGAAAAGACAGCAGGGTCAGCATCCCCCTACCCAGGAACCAGAATAGACTATGTTTTCATTTCTCAAGGGAAAGAAAAATGGGCAGCTTCTCCCTATTCCTCCAAGTGACCTCCCTCTCCTCCCTCACCCACCTCCTCACCTGAGGGGGTCTCATAGGAAGGCCCTTGACTGGTCCCCAGGAGAGTACAAAAGGTATGGGGGGGGCAGCTGCATTGGGCATGGTCAGCACCCTGGGCAGGGATAGATGGACCCACCAACTAGAGGGACTCATTTGAGTCCAACCCAGAAGAGGCTTGACTTAGAGGGCCCCTAAAACACCCAATTCTCCCAACTTCCAGCTAGGAGCCTGAGGCCCAGGAGGGGCGCCTGGGTAGAGATTCCCCAGGCCAATCCCAGAATGCTCAGTGAGCACCTACTGTGTTCTCAGCTCTGCTGGAACCTACCCCTGCCCTCAGCACCCCTACACCCCAAGGATAAAGACCCCAATTCACCTATTCTATATCCCCTCTCCTGACACTTCCCACCTCAAATGTGATGTCCTAGGATCCTTCCCACCCTCAACCACTTCTAGTGACATCCCTTTGTTTAGGCAAGCTCTCTGCCTGCGATGCCTTTCCCTCCACCCAGCCTCATTTGGCCAATTCCTTTCTACTCCCCTGCTACCATCCCATTTCGTTTTACCTGTTACGGCAAAGCTCCTTGAAAAAGTTGTCCATGCTGTCTCCAATTCCTCTCTCTCAAAGAAACTCCAGTCTAGCTCTTATCTCCCTATACAGTCCATTGACACCACTCATCAAAGTCAACACAGTTGCCGAGTACAGATGTGCAGGTTGGGCACCGCACAAGGATGCTGGGTACAGGAAGAATGGAGAGGTAGCTGAAACCCAATCTGCTCTTTCTTCTCACCATGCTGTGTGCCCTGAGACAAGGCTGTATCTGTCAGGGGAAGAGATGCCTCTTTCTTTCTTTCTTTCTTTCTTTCTTTCTTTCTTTCTTTCTTTCTTTCTTTCTTTCTTTCTTTCTTTCTCTTTCCTTCCTTATTTCTTTTTCTGAGAGAGAGAGAGAGGGTCTCAGGTCAGCGTAGTGCAGTGGCACAATCACGGCTCACTGCAACCTGAGTATACTATTAGCTGTGGGTTTTTCATAAATGCCCTTTATCATGTTGAGGTCATTACCTTCTATTCCTAGTTTGTTGAGTGGGTTTATTTTTGTTTTGTTTTGTTTTGTTTTTCTTTTAGAGACAGGAATACCCAGGCTGAAATGCAGTGGCACGATATCAGCTCACTGCCGCCTTGAACTCCCAGGCTTAAACGATCCTCCCACCTCAGACTCCCCAGTAGCTGGGGCTACAGGCATGCACCACCACACCCAGCTAATTTTTTTATGTTTTGTAAAGATAGAGTTTCCCCATGTTGCCCAGGCTGGTCTCAACTTCGTGGGCTCCAGCAATCCGCCTGCCCCAGCCTCCCAAAGTGTTGGGATTACAGGTGTGAGCCACTACACAGGGTGCCTTTTTCTTCACACCAAGGTGAAGACACACACTTTCTGTGTGCCTGTGTAGCTAGGTCCACCTGGAACAGCCAACATTTTCTAAAGTTTGTACACAGCACTAGACTGTGGCCTGTCCTCAGTGACTGCCACAATGCCAAATCCAAAAGTCTACTCACAGGCCTGGTCTTAGCTCCCCTGACAGCATCTGACACCATTCGTCACTGCCTCCTCCTTGACATAGGTTCTTCCCTTGACTTCCAGGACTCCTCATTGCTATGTTTTCCCTCCTGCCTCTCCGGCTTCGCCTTCTCATCCTCCTCTGCTGGTTCCTCTGCCCCTCTCTGACTGCCAGTGCCAGAGCTCCCATGGCTCAGTCCTCGGTCTTCTCCATCTCACTCTTGCCTATGATGACTTCATCCCAGCTTCAAAGCTCAGCTAAACCCTGAAGCTTTTCAGTGTGTGATTCTTCAACCTGGACCTTTCCACCTGAGGTCAGATGCCAAAACCCAAGTGCTGACCTGGAGTTGCCACCAGGATATTCAAAGAATAGTTCTATCTTTTTTTAGACAGAGTTTTGGTCTTGTTGCCCAGGCTGGAGTGTAATGGCACGATCTTGGCTCACCACAACCTCTGCCTCCCAAGTTCAGGCAATTCTCTTGCCTCAGCCTCCCAAGTAGCTGGGATTACAGGCGTGCACCACCACAGCCGGCTAATTTTGTATTTTTAGTAGATACGGGATTTTTCCTTGTTGGTCAGGTTGGTCTTGAACTCCTGACCTCAGGTGATCCACCCACCTCGGCCTCCCAAAGTGCTGGCAATTCAGGTGTGAGCCACTGCACCTGGCCAAGAGCAGTTCCATCTTAACCCAACCCAAACTGACCTCCTCTTCCTCTTTGCAGTAAATATCACGACCACAAGGCTAGGCTGGTCTCAGATTCCTGGGCTCAAGCGATCCTCCTGCCATGGCCTCACAAAGTGCTGGGATTACAGGCAAGAGCCACCTTGCCCAGACTCAAACCAAGTCTTTACACCGGCCACAAAATCCCACAAGATCTGGCCCCCACCACTCCTCTGACCTCATTCCCCTGCAGACACACCAGTCCCCTCCCTGTTCCTCCAAAGCACCAGTCATGCTCCCACCTCAGGGCCCTTGCTGTTCTCTGCCTAAAACGCTCCCCCTCACCCAGGTACCCGCACTACCCACCTCTCACTTCCTTCAGCTCTCGGTTCCAATGTCACCTTTTCTGACCGCTCTACTAAAATACTACCTCCTCCTTCATCCACATCTCCCATTTCCCCACCTTCTTTTCCTCCATAACACATGTTTATATACCACATGCTTACTTGTCCTTTCTGGGAATGGTCTGTGTCCCCACCACCGCTGCCATCCCTTGGCCATAGGCTCCATGAGGGGAAGAATTTTCCTCTCCCCCTTGTAGATTCCCAGGGGCCAGAACAGTGCCTGGCACCCAGTGGGCATTTAGTGAAACCCTCGTATAAGGAGTACTTAGTTTGTTGAGTGGGTTTCTTTGTTTTTGTTTTGGTTTGGTTTTTGTTTTTCTTTTAGAGACAGGAATACCCAGGCAGGGGCACAATCTTGGCTCACTACAGCCTTGACCTCCCAGGCTCTAGCAATCCTTCATTAATAAAGGAAGAAGTCATCTGTAAATATTAGATGGGCTTTGAAACACACAAACAAGCAGAACCTGGTGTGTGACCACAGCTGGCTGGCAGGTAGGGCTGCTTCACCCAGCTGTTCAGGGAGGGCCTCTCTGAGGAGGTTCCCCGAGGCCAGGCAGGTCTGTCTCCATCACAGCACATGTCACACTGTGTGGTGACTGTCTGGACTGAACACTCCATGAGGGCAAGGACCCTGCACACTCCTCTCTCAGTCCCCACTCCTCCCAAGCCCAGGGCCTGCATGAAGTTGGTATCCAAAGAGTGATGAACCAAAGAATGAATGAATGAGTAAGTGGCCAGGGACAAACGCACACCTGGCCATCACCCTGAAGGGCCCATAGTAGGGAAATCATGCAGTCAGGAGCTGGGGCAGAGAGCCACCGAGGCCTGGGGAGAATGCCTGGAGCCCTGGGTCTGGTCTGCAAACGGAGACAACATGACCACCACACCTATGGTTAGCTGGGGGGGAGCCGGAGAGGACTCACACTCCTTGCTCACTGGACAGCCCTGGCCATGGGAGCCAGCAAGGCTGAGGTAAGGGGCCAGTCACCTGGAAGAGGGCAAGGCCACAGGCTGGAGAAAGGGAGACTGCCAGAGCTCTGTGATCTGCCTGTGCACTCCCTCCCCCAGCGGACGAGGCCCAGCCAGCACGGGGCCAGAGCTCATGGACAAAGCCCCACAGGAGTGCCAGGGACTTACAGTGCCGAGAACCAGCCGGCCGCCGGCCCGGGGCACCGGCAGAGCCTGGCCCAGAAATGCATCTAAGGGCCTTTGTGGGCCTCCGGGAGCCTGTCCAGGAGAGTGCCGGGAACTGGCCGGGGTGGTATGGGGTGGGCAGCCCGCGCTTCCGGAGGTCCAGCTGGCCGTCCAGGCCGTCCAGGGTTGATGGGGGTTAGGGGGAGAAGCCCCTTGCCTCCCCTCCAAATCTCTACCCTAGTGGAGGTCTCCCCACCCTGTCCCAGGAATTCGCAGCTGCTAGAATTAAAGTGGCCAGCTGGTCCCATCACCCGCACTGAGGCTCAGGGAGTGGGGGGGTGCAGCGGGGTTAGGGTTGAGTTCGGGTTGAAGCTGACCCTCCCTTTACCCCACGGGGCTCCTCCAAGAAGCTGGGCGGGAGAGAGGAGGGCAAGCCTTTTTCCAAAATGAAGGCACACGGGACATGTCGAGTCCTGCCCAGGGAAGGAGGAGCGGCCAAGCTGGAAAGGTTCCCGCAGGGAGAGCTCGGGCTGGGGGAGCCGGGCCAGGCCTGGGGATGGGAGGGTGGGGGGCTCTCTGCCTCCTTCTGCTGGCCGGACGCAGAATTTCCAGCGCCCCGCGTCCCAGGGCCCAGCACTGCCTGGAGCCCTAGGCGAAGTGCAGCCCCACTCGCCCCCACTCCGAAAGGAAGCGAATACAGGTCATATGGGTCATCCCCCTGCCGCAGCACCAGGCTCAGTGGCGCCCCGAGTCCAGCCGCAGGCACTCAACAACCAGCCTCCGCGTCGAGATCCCGCCCGCTCTGGAAGTCTCCCATCCGCTCCAACCCGGGTAGTTCCTCAACTTTGCCCAGGCTGTCTCCGCAGGCCGTGCCCTTACACAACACGGATGGAAAACAGGCTCCCCGACTATCCCATGGTGACCCAGACCCCCCTCTTCCTTGAGCCAGAGACTACAGAGAATTGAGGGGCGTGCACGTACGGGTCCCCCCCGCAGCGGGGAAGGTCGGGGTCTAACTGGCCGAGATCCAAGAGGCCGACCAGCCCAGCCCCTCCCGGCCCCGGGAAGGACAGCGACGGGGGCTCT